AATTTTTAAAGGATAAATTTAAAGCAGTAATATTTTTGTTCTCTCCATTTCTTGCATCTACTGCTCAGCCCCAGTGTACATGCACACACATGCACCATTTCACTTATGTAACCATTTTTCTCCCATTGATCTTCCCCCCCCCCACCCCCCCAGTACTTCCATCTGTTGTCCTTGTCTTATCCCATTGCTTTGGGTCATATTTCTTATACTAAAAATAAAAATCAAAATTATTTAAAAAAACAGTCAGGAGCTGCTATTAAGTCACTCTCATATACATCCAGTTACTAGCTGATACAGCTTTGTCAGGGACACAGTATTCTCAAGAGCTGTGTTAAAATCTGTGATGAAAGTATTTGTGTCAGCCAGTCCTTTTATAGAAACAAGTCTTTAAAAAGTAATCCCTGTAGTTAATACATAGATAATAACTCAGTGTATCCAATATGCAATCATCCTTTGAAAGCCTAATTTGCAGCCACCGTTCTCAGCTGGGATTACTTTCTTGGACAACTTTCACCAGGTCAAAGGTAGGTAATGACTAGAAAAAAAATTACATATACTAGCTACTTGATCAGCACCAGGTCTGTAACCAAACACATCACTTAATACAGTAAACTGCATTAGCATATTCCCACTTCAAATTAGTTTTTAACAACAATCTAGATCTTTCCTCTGTTTCACTTTATGACAACTTGAATGCAAGTAATGCCAATACATTTATCCTTTCTTGTTCATCTTTCATCCCTCTTGCAAAAACAAACAAACAAACAAAACCCAAAACAAAAAAACAAACAAACCAAACAAAAACAAACCACAAAACAACCAACAAAAAACAAACAAATAGGCATACAAAATATAAATACAGACATTAATGACATTTCTAGTTAACAAAGTCAGTAGCTGAGAAGAGCATAGCTTCAGACTCATTTCTAGCAGTGGAGTCGCAATCTCTTTTGCAAAAGACTCTATAAGTAGTAGCAGTAAATTAATCTTCAAATGTCTGCAAGTAAGTGTGCAAACATCCAGCTGGTTTGCCATCCTTAACATGACAGCAGTGTCAAACTCTTAACAGCTCAAAGCACACAAGGAAGAGAAACTCTTTTTATGGTATTCCATGGAACTGATACTGTCATAATGGGTAGAATTTATTTTCTGTATCCTTTCCCTATACTTACACTGTCTCTTCATTACACTGCAGTTTTTCTCTTGCTTATTGCAAATGCTCTCCTATTTCTGTACATCCAATTGGGCCCTTAAAAATTAAAAAATCCACTCGAAAGAACTTGCAAACTTTCAGTCTTTATGTTTCTTTAGCTGTCTCTTGTCCAGGGATCAGGATGAAAACTGTGCAAACAATCCTAAGGGTATTCATTACCACAGGAAAGAAATGTGACCTCTCCAACTAAACCCCCAAGTTAGGATAAATGTGGAACCGGAATTGCAGGACATGGTTTATGGCACAATTATCTGTACGAGTATATGGAAGGAGAGTGTCTGCTCCTTTAAGGGAATCTGGTCAAGGACCTTTTCTAATACAACAGGGACAGTAAGAAAAGGAGGAAACAAGAACAAGAAAAGGGATGCAAACCTGACTGACGTCATGAGGGAGGCTGTGATGAGAACCAAACCTGGTCAGTCACATTAGTTGATAAGGGCATGTGACAGCGTGAAGTTTAGTCCTGCAGGGTTATCTGACTGGGGACCTGGCAGTGAGAAAACTAAGGGAAAAAGGGGGAAAGCAGAAACAAAATACACCAAGAGACAGACTTGTCAAAACAAACTCAGAAACAATGACAATAAACCAACCTCACCCCTCACACTAACTGATGTATTATCAAGAAACTCCAGGTGCCCCTTTTGGGAAGATCAGCCTGGACTTTGGAACTGGTATCGGGAGATCTGACTGTGACGGGTGGAGGAACTGATGAAGCTGTACACACACATGGAGGGGGGGATGCAAAAGGGAAGGGGGAGCCAAGGAGAACAAAGGGAGTAAGCAGAACGAGGTGCCTGTGGGCTGGTCAATACACTTGTCTAGCCGAGCCCCTTACCTGCCCAATGCAGTCTGGTCTTGCTTCTTCTATCTTCCTATGAAATCTTAAGAATCTCTCCGTCCCCTGTGAACATGCTGCAAGCACTCAGTGCCAGCTACTGTCGAGCCAGTGTGTGAATGAGGAGAATTTAGTGCCAGATCCTGGGGTGAGACCAGTGATGCCAGTGACTGGAGTGAGTGGGGTCCCCTCAGGTACTGGAGCCAGCAGGGGTCTTGAACTTGCCCAGATACTGGGGCAGGAACAGCATCTGTTCCCAAAACCAGCTGTCAGGGACACAGCATGAGTGAGACAAGCAAGGAGCTCAGCACGACTGGAGTGGGACCATGGGTCACTGTGTGCTTGGTGCCAGCTGCGAGGGGAGTCTGTGTCTGCCCCAGATTTGGTGTGCCTGGGGGAGTGTGCATATTCACCAGCAAACTTTAAGGTGGACTAACCAGCAACTTGAGAGGCCAAGGATCTAGGCCAGGCTCCCCTAGTCCATTTGCTATGAAATACATGTATTTTGCAAAAACGCCCACATTTGACCTTCAGCGTGGCTTGCTGATGTAGGCTTTTCTGTGAAAAAATCATGTCAATGAGTGCATCTGTCTCAGTTTACAAAAAAGCAAACAAAAAACCAAAAGGAGCCAAGCAACCACATTCTTATTTTGCCTGCTTAAAGATTATGCCTCTAAACACCCTCACTAATTCTGCAGGGTTGTGGCCCAGAGAAAAAAAAAAGCATGGGAGAAGCAAATACATTACAAAGTATTCCATCTGTCAGTCCCCATAGGTTTTTGGTGACTTGTGAAGAGTAGATGGCTATACTGGAACAGACCTGTGCTGTTCTGCAAGCCTGCTGTTTTAGACAGTGCCTAAAAATAATAATAGTTACAACACTGACGGACATTTAGGTCAAAGGAATTTTAAGACTGGCGTGTTCATCTTCCTGAAAGTAATTTCCACTATGTGGACTGCACAAACTCACTTGAGCTTTCCTGCTATGATCTTGTGTGCTGATAATGGTTTAAAAAGGATGAGTTGTCCTTAAACCACCTGAACTGGCATCCAATGTACTCCTGGAATTTAAGTCAGCAACTCTAGCCAGTAAATTACATATCTCACATCTAACTTGGATGGGAGTGTACGGGAACACCTATTAAAAATATAGCTGTATCTTTTTGTTTCTTCAGATTCTACATTAAAAACCTGAGTTTGTACAAATTTGCCATGTAAATGAACTGGAATACAGACTGTCCCAAATTAATCTGGATGAAATAAGATCTGTTCAGCAATAATTGAGTACACACCCATTCTAAAAAGCAAAGCTGGTCCACAAGGCCAGTTTGAGCTGATCTCATTTCTATGTCATACTTAAGTGCTGTGCTCATGTGAAAACCTTCTGCCACAAGAATAATTCAGTAAGAAAGCTTTACCTTGGGTCAAGACTCATAAGAGAATGACATGCTCTCTTGCACAGGTATAAAAAACAAAATGGAGCATACAGTTTCACTACATGAAATAGTAACAGAAAATAGCAGGTATCCTTTTCTGGAATCAGAACAAAAACCCTTTTTGTTTCTTTAACACTCGATAGGCTAAGAAATTATTTTCCTCCCTTCGTCTCTCACTGATTCTTTTACTAAGTCCAACTATCTCCTGTATTGGCTACTTGTACAGTTCTGGACTTTGCAATAATAATCTCTCTCACCTTGTCAGAAAAAGGACGGTTACTTTACAGTCACCTTCAATAACATAATTCAGCAGCACAAAAATAGACGCCAAAAAGCAGAACACTACACTGAAAGAAGAGCTAAAACTTCAACTGTGCAATGATTTGGTAAGATTAAGATTCTACCATTCCGTTTGAATTAAGTAGTAAACAAGACACCACCACACAAACAACTGGAAAAGTCTCTAAGATCAGCATCGATTATGGTGTTTTGTGTCTATGAGACGCTTAAAAAGAAACTTCCATTTTCTTAACTAAAAAGGTAAGTTCAGACCTCAGAAGAAAAAAAAGACCAAACCAAAGGAACAACAGCGCATGTATTTGTTAGTTTCACAAAATGTATGCTCTGTAGAATACTGTATCAGAATACAAAGGACTCAGTAATACACAAATTCCCTGTATGATTTGCTATTATTTTATACAGCGTGGGGAACAAAGTGCCTTTTGCACAGTTAGTGTAGTAGTGAATCAAACACAAATCATACCTACAACAGTAGAAACTAGAGTTCCCAACTGGGATCAGAAATCATACTTCCTAAAATAAAGGAAAATGCATTAGCCCTAAATGGTTTAGGGATAGAGGCAAAAGGAAAACTTGCAATGAAATTACAGATACAAACAAACATAGAACTTGTGTAAGATCTACTGACAGGCAACAATAACAGCACTAAGGAGATATTTGTGTCCTCAGTTTTGATGCCAGATATGTAGTCATATTCTGCTTCCAGTTCCATCGATTTAATATGACTTTGAGCAGACGTGGTCATGCCAGCAGTTGCAGTGCCTTTTAAATACAACAGATTTTAAACAGAGCCTTAGATCCAATATGTCAATTAACAATTCTATAATAGACCAATATAGATCATTCTATATCTGCCACAAATACATACTATTTCTACAGGGAATTTTTACTGGTCATAGCCAAAGGAAAAGCCTCAAAAGGCTTCAACTTTGTTCTTAGTGCTACTTAGGTCCTTTAACAAAGAACACTAGGAACACAATTTCATAGCAAATTGTTTAACATGTAAGGGCATTTCACTGCAACAGCCCCTTCTTCGAGTTCTTCATGCTTTTAGGTACTCACGTTCCTTTTTTACCTAAACACCATCTCTTTGGCTGTTTCTACATGTGAAAAATACTCTCTAACTATACCAGCTATGGAAACCCGGTCAACAGAACTGTTACAGAAAGCATTCTATTAAAGTGTTTAAAAGATGGCATCTTTTGAAATTTTCATGGTTAGTTTAACTGTATTATTTCCAGTAAAGTTAATCTAAACATTGTCTTCAGTAACAGTAAGTACATGAGCACTGAGTGCTTCTTAAACTCCAATGAGACAGGAACCACAGCAGCACATAAATACTGTAACAGGATGGCAAAAATGCCATAGAATGAGAACTCAGAAAGGTGCATGGCACTGCTGATATCCCAACAGTGAACTCAGCAGTTGCATACAAAACAATTAACCACAAGAGTTTACTGGCCTCAATTCTGTCAAAACCGAAGTTCAAATCCTAGCAAGGGCTTTGTAATTTTGCAAGTATATACCTGGAGCTTACGTTAAAATGTACCTAAAGTTAAACCTAACCTCTTTGTAGAACTTCATCTGGGAAAACTGATGGAGGTGCTATAAATTTATTTTTTTAATAGGTTTAGAACACAAACTAAGAGACCTCCAAACACAAAGCAACGTGTATACAGAACACACACACATATGTAGCCAAGTCCCCTCGGGTTTTGCTGTTGTTGTTACTTTATGTTTTATAGACAATCTTTATAAAAGATTAGTTTCATCATATGCATACTATATTAGAGGCATATTTCTACCACATGAATAATTTTAATATATTTTTAAAAAATCAGAATGTAAAATCTTGCCTTTGAAAACTTCCCAACAACCAACAACATATTTAAGGATCACTACGCAACCTCACATTTCTAACAGTCTCTACATTTGAAAAATGCACTAATAAAGTTTACAGATTTTACAAAAAATTTCACCAATCTCTCTTATGTACTTAATAGTTTGCCTCCTCCATAAATGTATGCCACCTTTTCTTTCACCTCTCTCCTTTAATGCTTCATGTTTTCATGTTGTTGTCTTCATGAAAGAAATGAAAGTATCAAAAAGACACAAACAATACTCAGTTCAAACTTAACAAAATTCTATTAAATACTCAGGGTAGATTTGGTTAGCATCGAAGATGACAAAGATCTTTGGGTTCCAGGTATTATCCACACAGCTGTCATACAAGTTCACAAAACTTCCATCTTTTGAAGGAGGTCTTATGTATTTTGAGTCCCCACCAATATAGTCACCAGTTAATACACGAGCAAGAAACATGACTTTATCTGGTCTATGCAGATGAGGCTGCAGATTCACGCCATGAATCTGGAAAGTATCTCCATGCTTCATGCTCTCTTTGCAGAAGTGACTGGAATATGATGCATCTCTGGCGAAGTAAGTCCCTTTCAAATAAAAAACAAACAAAAAAAATCTGATGACATTCATACCGTGACAGCTTAACCACTAGAGCAAGGATATAGGTACCAGGATGATGAAAAATGTCTGTTCTCTTATCTTCATTAGCAATTCTTTTTTACTTTTATTTAAGTTGTTGAATTATAGCAACATGATCAAATATTTTTAGAGGGAACATTTTTGTAGGGAGATTGTCTTTGATCAGCACTGCTTTGCTGAGCATCCCTTCTCCATGCTCCCTGGTCCTACTAGCCAGTTTTGATTACATTCATTACTGCATCTTAACTTTCTTAATTACACTTGATGTAAAAGCAGAGCTGTATTAAACAGCTCTTGGATAAACAGAGGGTGTGCATCACCAAGTATAATCTATATGGAACACTTAACAATGCAGAACTGTCAACAATACCAAACTGTTGTATGTGACAACTATACTTACCTTTTCCATATACAGCAGCATGCATCCCATTTATTCTCCAGTCAAAGTTATGAATACATATTGCTTCAACAAATTCATTACTGGTGCCATGAAACAGCATCTGCTCATTAATCGTTGGAACACCCCTTTTCTTCTTCAGTTGAGCTTTCTTCCTACAGAAAACACACAATACAGGATTACAAACAGCTGTACAATCACATTAAGTTACTACCGTGAAAACACTGCACAGGGGACAGACCTAAAACACTGCACACATTCCACTTTGACAAATGCCTAGATGGTTCTAGTTTTTAAACAGCTCAGAATTCTTAAGCTGCAGTTTTAGAAATCACACTTTTCTGAATGCTGTGGACTATTTTCAGACATAGTCCAAGATTAAGAAAAAAGGTCTTTTATACCAATTTATCACCATGGTTCATTTGGCACTAGTTTTACTGTGGTCATTTTCTGCAGATACATTTTTTTTTAAAAGTGCATTTTTCTCACATTTGGTTCCTACTTAAGTAGCATGGTGGGAGGCATAGCAAAGTCAACAGATTATAAAGTACTATTACCTAGGTAAATAGCAGAAATATTAAAATAAAATCACCTAATGTTTTAGTCAAATTTACTTTCACATGATCACTTCATAATGATTTTCTGAATTTATGGTTCACTAATACTTTTTAAAAGACACAGTTGTGCATCGGCAGGGTTACATCAGTCTAAAACTTTGGACAAAAACCCCCCAAAAAACCCAACTTATACTACAGGTGAATGTATATCACAGTCTCATGGGCAGAAAGCCATAGCACACCTCCAATTAAATAGCAGATACATTTTCCATCAATCTTTCAGTGACTTTCTGTCAGTGGGGTTTTCCTTAGATCCATGAAGTTGACTCTGCAGCTGTGTCAAATCAGAAGAATGTCAGTGTAATCTGAATGGCATCTGGGAGGTTTCAGTACTAATCTCATTAGTAAACATTTTTTTATCAGAGGCAGACAGGCTCCAGGCACTCAAGTTCCACTTTATTAGCAGTTCAACAAAATCTAAGAGCCAAGACTCCCTTCATCTTGAGAAAACTACCTGTGTGAGGAAACACCTTTTGATCTAAGGGCTACTAATGCTGAACATTTGAAATTTTTCTATTATTAGCCCTCTATTGTTGGCTGATGATCTCTGTAGCCTAACTTCTCTTGAAACAGGGGAACAGAACAAATTTACGGAAGAGGTGAATATTCAATTGTCAAAGAATGCTCTGTAACAGTCCTTCACTATCTCTGACCAGTTTATTTCCTAAAACCAATTTGGAATTGTCATTAATATGGGAACTACTGAAAGAGGCAAATGTGTTTTGACCTCTACAATGATGCAAATAATCATTCAGGCAATGATATAATCATTGATCTTATCAATTAAACAAAACACTTTTTCAAAACCATCAAAGTTTAAGTAGCAATTGTTCCTCATAAGTAGCAGAGTATACTGGGCACACTGGGAAGCTCGTTCCGCAGAATGAAGAAATGCCACAACAGGGCATTTTGTTAATTTGGAACAGAAATTGAGGAGCCCGACTATTCTAAAAAGCATCATCTTAGCACTTTTCACCAGCAGTGACCAGCTAATCCAGTTCAACAAAATTAATCCACTACTCACAAGGTTTTTGTGCAGCTGGTTTGGTCAATAAAAGGAAAAACCTACAGCAAAACTAAAAACCCATAGACATGCTCTTTGTACACAAGCAAGCACCTAAGTAATCTCACTGACCAACAACGTTTTTACTTGCTGTACTCCTCTGCAACTCCAAACTGAGTTGCATAAACAGAAATATGCTAGACTAAGCTTCATCTTCTTTTTAACATTCTTACCTGGGACACCAAAAGAACTTCTAGGGAATTTGAAATGCTGGAATACCTATTACTTTCTAATATACTACCAGGCAATGATTTCTTCACCAGTGTTTGTAAGCCCATCTACTTCAAGGCTGTATTTTACCCTCAGCAGAAAAGCAGCTAAGCCTCAATTGCACACTCTTATTCTAGCAATTTTCATTGTTACTTGTAATTTTTTATACAGGAAAAAAAATTTAGAACTGAAATTACTTTTCTCCATATACTTTTACACTGTACAAGTACTAAAAAGTACTTTGGTTTGTAGTCAATTATATGGTGATACTGTAATACTCCTGGCATATGAAATTCTAATTCCCACTCTCAGTTTCATACCTTGAGAGCATTTTGGCACAGCATCCATAGATTCAGAGCTCTTAAACCATGAATTCTATTCACTGACCAGTCATGAAAACTAGTACAGTCTCCAAATGATATCAGTTGCTAAACTAAGCAAAAAAAAGTCTTCCTTAGCCTGCCTCTGCCATCTACACTGAGACTCAAAGGACATTTACTTTGAAGCCTGCTTAGTACTCTTATTGTCAGAAATTAGGGTATGTATAAATATACCTCTTCAGAAACATAATACTAGAAAGGTAGATGGTGAAACACAAGGCCAAGCAAATAAGCCTTAATATTTACACAAGGTAAATATAAGCAAATATTATATATAAAATTTGCAATTAGAATTACAGTCATTTAGGTTGGAAAAACCCCATGAGTCCAACCTGACATTAACCTGACACTGATAAGTCTACCACTAAACCATGTCCCTAAGCACCACATCTACACATCTTTTAACTACATCCAGCGATGGTGATTCCACCACTGCTCAGGGCAGCCCATTCCAATGCTTGACAACCCTTTCAGGGAAGCAGTTTTTCCTAATAGCCAATCTAAACCTGCCCTGGCACAACTTGAGGCCATTTCCTCTTGTCCTATCACTTCTTACATGGGAAGAAGAGACTGACCTTCACCTTACTACAACCTCCTTTCTAGCTGAATAAGGTGTCCCCCTGAGCCTCCTTTTCTCCAGGCTCAACAATACCAGATCCCTCAGCTGCTCCTTGTAACTCTTGTGCTCCAGACTCTTCATCAGCTTCGTTGCCCTTCTCTGGACATGCTCAATATCTTACTACTTTCTTGTAGTAAGGGGTTCAAAACTGAGGACAGGAGGTGCAGCCTCACCAGTGCCCAGTACAGAGGGACAATCATTTCCCTGGTCCTGCTGGCCACACTATTTCTGACACATGCCAGGATGCCACTGGCCTTCTCAGCCACCTGGGACCGTGGATGGCTCATATGCAGCCAGCTGTCAAACAGTACCTCCAGGTCCTTTTCCTCTGGGCAGCTTTCCAGTCACTCTTCCCAAGCCTGTAGTGCTGCATGTTGTGACCCAAGTGCAGGACCTGGTATTTGGCCTTGTTGAACCTCATACAACTGGCCTCAGTCCATTGATCCAGCCTGTCCAGATCCCTGTGCAGAGCCTTTCTAACTTCCAGCAGATCAACACTCCCACCCAGCTTGGTTTTGTCTGCAAACTGACTGAGGGTGCCCTCGATCCCCTCGTCCAGATCATCAATAAAGATATTAAACAGGACTGGCACCAACCCTGATCCCTGGGGAACCCCACTAGTGATTGGCCACCGACTGGATACAACTCCATTCATCACCACTCTCTGGGCTCACCCATCCACCCATGTTTACAGGGCACCTGTCCAAGCCATGGGCTGCCAGCTCCTCCAGAATGCTGTGGGAAATAGTGTCAAAGGCTTTACTGAAGTCCAGGTAAACAATATCTGCAGTCTTTCCCTCATGCACTAGGTGAGTCACCTTGTCATAGAAGGAGACCAGGTTGGTCAACCAGGAACTGCCTTTCCTAAACCCCTGCTGGCTGGGCCTGATCCCCCTGTTGTCCTGTACATGCCATGTGATGGCACTCAAGATGATCTGTTCCATGACCTTCCCCAGCATCAAAGTCAGGCTGACTGGCTTGTAGTTCCCTGGATCCTCCTTCCGATGCTTCTTGTGCATGGGAGTCACATTTGCTCACCACCAGTCAACTGGGACCTCCTCAGGGGAGCCAGGACTGCTGGTAAAAAATAGCTTGGTGAGCACTTCTGCCAGCTACCTCAGTAGCCTCAGGTGGATCCCATCCGGCCCCCTAGAGTTGTGTGTTTAAGTGCTGTAGCAGGTCACTGAGAATTTCCCCTTGAATTACAGGGGCTCCATTCTGCTCCCTGTCTCCATCTTCCAGGTCAGGGTCTGGGTCCTTGGAGAACAACTGCTCTTGGTATTAATGCTTTCTTGGCCTCAGTATTTAAAGTATCTCAGCCTTTTCCTCATCCTTAGTCATTAGTTTTCTCCTCACATCCAGTGAAGGATGGAGATTCTCTGTAGCCCTCCGTTTGTTGCTGATTTATTTATAAAAATACTTTTTATTTTCTTTTACAGTAGTGGCCAGACTAAGTTCTAGCTGGGCTTTGGCGCTTCTACTTTTCTCCTTGGAAAACATCACAGCATCCTTTAATCCTCCTAAGTTGCCTGCCCTTTCTTCCAAAAAGTCATAAACTCTCTTTTTCCCTTAAATTCCATCCAAAGTTCTCTGTTCAACCAGGCTGATCTTCCTCGACTACTTGTCTTCCAGCACACAGAGACATTCAGCTCATGAGCCTTTAGGATTTCCTTCTTGCAGAATGTCCAGCCTTCCTTGACTCCTTTGCCCTTCAGGACTGCCTCCTAAGGGACTCTGTCAAACAGTCTTCTAAACAAGCCAAAGTCTGACCTCTGAAGTCCAAGGTAGCAGTTCTGCTGACTTTTGTCCTTACTTCTCCAAGAATAAACAAACTTAATTAAGAGTACGATAACTCACTTAACTATCAATGTTATAAGGAAAATAATTTCCTTATACATGTTATTGATATAGCTCTCAATTAACAATAAATTACATATCTTTCAAAAAAAAATCACAAAACTTATTTTAATATACATCTGCTTAGTTATTTCCCCACTATTTAACTTAGTTCAGTTGGTTTTATTAGTGTAATACATCTTTAAAACTTCTGATATGTACTTCTTCTTAGAGACTACACAAAAAACTTTTGTCAAATACAACTGCTTAAGACTGATACTACAAAATAAGTGAATGCTGAACTGAGAACTTCCAGCTTCTTCCAGGCCAGCACAACATGAAGAGGGAAAAGCCAAGAACTCAGAACAAGATTTTGTAGCACATTAAACTTCAGGAAATTGGAAAAATATGTGGTAATTAGACACTTAATTCTGTCCTGAGTTTCATAAATTTGAGAATCTCAACAAGACACAAATATTTATTTGTTTCGTTCAGTAAAGATTAAAATAATACAATCTTCTCAAGGAGTTATTTTACAAGAAGCTTGGTTTTGTTCTCCTTACTTCACTGTAAGTATTCTGGGCATCTTCATGTGGACATTCTGAACATCTTTAATGCATTAGTCTTATCTGTGCTACACTATAACTAATGCATTTCTATAAGTATTACAACAATGCACCTGTAAAAGCTACAGTCTTGAAAATGGAAGTTTGAATAGAGAAATAACAAATAAGAAAATTTTTAAAAGATAAAAAGGAACACAAATTTTCATTAATAATAAAAACAATTAAACATATTTCTGATACATGACTTCAAAACTTGCTGCATTAACAATCCTAAGACTGTTGGGTTTAGAAATAATCTCACCTGCAAAAAAACTCCCACAAGTCTAGATTTTGTATTCTCTTAATTCTTTTAATTCGGTGGCTATCCATTGTTTTTCCAAAGAGACTAGAAACTTCATTATATTCATTTGTTTTCTTTTGCAATGGAATAAGCTGGAAAAAAAGAGGTTAGTACGATTTCAATTCATTGCATTATTTCATTATCCCCCGTTTCTGACCAACTTGCATACCAACTCTTACCTGGTATGGCTCCTCAGTATTTACATTCTCCCAGTGCGAAGGCATAGGGATAGCCTCATTTTCACAGATGAAACTTCAAACAAAAAAGGTAAAAACACATCACACTAAAGACATGAGGCATTTGTTTCCTGTCAAACTCCTCCTCCAAACAATACACTATGCAAAAAACCCCCACAAAACTCCACAAGGTTTACACAGAACTACTCAGGGTTTTACTTTCAATCAAAGGCTGTTGCCAACAGGTAAAGTCAAAGGCAAGAGGTCTTTTTTTGTATTCAAATTCTGCCTTAGCTTTTTGTAACTAAACCGTGGCAATGAACAGTTTTAATACACCATCTATCTAATAAAAGATAGGAAGATAAAGCAGAAGAAGTGGTCAAAAAGTTCCACAACATTAGGAGAGCAACACTGATTTAGAAATGTGACGGTGAACATACAGCCGGAACACTTCAAACTATCAGGAATTACAACTGGCCTACTGTCTGGAAACTGAGCCCTCATTTGAAGTAATTAAAAGCACCATGTTAAAAATACACATTTGAAAATTAGTTTACTTTAAAAAACTCTCAAAACAACAAAACTTAAAAAAGAGTGTTTTAAACATATACAACTTTTAAGCCTTAAAACTGGGACTAAATGAAGGAATCTCCTGAAAGTAAACAATGTCATCACATGGAACTCAAGAGTACTGAATGCAAGAAACAAAAAAAGGTAAATTGCCACATCATTGCATGCACTATTCAGCAAATATCTAATGAAAAAAACAGCTAACACTTCAAAAAAAACCAGGCCTTCTTGAAAGTCAGTGTAAACAGATGGCTACTACATTTCTTAGGACAAATTACAAATTTCTTTTTGAATGTATAACCAGACTACAATTCAGAACTAAAATTATTTCTCAGAAACTATATGGGGAAAAAAACACCATATATTCCATGTAATTAATTTCATCTGTGGCAGCATCACTGCATAGTTGAGTTCATTGTTTAGAGAGTATCAGCAGGGCTTTACACCTAATGATTGATCAAATGGTAGACAACTTACAATGTAAAGCAATTAGACTAAAAAAATCCGGTTGTTACAACACAATTTCTTTAACTTCAAATCATTTTAGAGCACATGACTAAAACACAGGCAAGAAAATATAACTCAATCTTTTTTGCTGTTACAATAATACTTCTAAATAATTTTTGAAGTCAATGGAACAAACTGCCCCATTTTTTGCTGCTGGTTCCCCGCAGCAATTCTGATTCAACAGGTATTCAGAGCAAGTGAGTCCAATGGCTAAAGCCAAGCACAGCTTTAAGAACCCTGCCTAAGCATATCAGTATACAGCACGCCTTTCTTCTCCCAATACAAATTCTTTGATTTCTCAGAAAACAAAAGATAAAAAATAAACTAAAAATTCTCTTGTCACTCTTCTCTGATGAAATGTCTTCCTTCTTCACTTGACTAGCTCTCCCACCTTGGTTTACCTCTCAAATTGTTTCATGCAAAAAGCAAATAAATATAAACAATAAAGACAAAACATTTTTGTTTCATTTTACTTAGAAGAATCAGGAATAAAATAAAAATAAGGAATCTTCCTTTTATTTCCTTACCTGAATGAATTGATAGAAAAGGGAGCTCGCTTTATTGGACGTTGCTTAAGGGTAGTTAGGTTGATTTGTTTCATCACTGAGCATAAAACAAAAGTTAAAATGAAAGTTTCTGGAATTCTTCTATAGCATCTGAAACATTTACGTGACGTTTTTTAAAATAACATTTTTTAAAATAACGTTTTTTTAAAACACACCCTAAGTTGCTTGACAGGGATTCCTTTTTCAGCAATTAACAAATCAGCATTTTCAATAAATATTTCTAAGTGCATTGTCATTTATATGAGTTGGTGAAATGCACAAATATTACACATAAAAAATGATTATTTTTAAAATACCCATCTAAAATTCAGCTTCACTAAATCACTGGCAAAATTTCCACTGACTTTAACAGGATGACAAAGAATATTACTACTACTATCCTTAATGTAAGATATTATGACCTACAGACAGTGACAAAAATTGCTCTTTAATATTTGCATTTAGTGTTTTTATTCTGGATGCAAAACAGTTTTTTTAAACAGACATTTTAACACAAGTAAACATTAAAACTCCTTGTGTTGTTACATACTACTTTACTACCAGTACATTGCTATTTTCCCCAGTCCTCACTTTTTGTATTTGAAATACTTGAAATTCGAGTATAATAGAATATATATTTATTTCCTTGATTTCCTATATTTAAACATATAGCCGTTTTGTAATTTAATCAGAAAACAAACAATCTACAAATGGAAAAACTAAAAAAAAACCAAAAACAAACAAAAAAAGGAAGTTATTAGAACACATCTTGCACGTTGAAGAAAAACGGTTCAAACTTCCCGGTTTAATCAATGTAGGCTACATACTGTCTGCAGTTGAGGCAAGCAGCAAGTAACAAGATGGAGTGCTATGAAACAAGACATGCTAGCACAGTAATAAACTACACTACAAAAATGTAACAGGGCAGCAGCTTCTAAAAACTCATATGAACTTCCTATAAAGGTGGCATTTTCAATTACATGTTTTGGCATTAGATACAAGGACAGTAACTTCCTGAATGAACAAATGTGACGTGTACCTGGCACCTTCCATTATTTATATTTACTCTATGAAAAGATACATACCTGAAAAGTCTAGCATGTAGTTAAATTTTGCAGTTGTAAAAGACAGAGAACCATGTGGGTTTGTTCGGAAACTCCTTTCAATATCTTCACTGCTAATAGAGCAATGACTGTTTGAATCAGTCTTCAAAATAAATAAAACAAATGAAAAGGCACATTTAGACAAATTCGGCAATAGGTAGTTGGATGTATGGAAATACACCACAATATAACTTGATAGGAATTTACCTGAAACATATGCCATTTACCACACTCAGCCAAATAAAACCAGCCCCACTGGGTATCAGAGGTATCCATCTCTTCAACCGGACTTTCCATCTTTGGAAATACATCTTCTGATGGTCCTTGGAGCATTTCCTGAAACATTCATACACACAAAAAATTTTGATTTGAGAAATTTATAAAGAAGCAAAATAAAGTCCATTTGCAATACTTACAAAAAATCCTGGCAGACGAGGACATGTTTGTTTTTTTCTTTTTCAGAGAAAAATTCACAATTTGATACTTTTCCAGTATTAAATCATCTACATTAGTTAAACATTTTCAAAACTCTTCTTAATTGTCTGTCAAGTAAAGGCAAGTTATAGGCTTTAACATATCAAGGAGAGGTGCTAAATTTCACACTGATGGCTGTAGAATCAAGGCTATACAGATATACATAATGGGCTCTCCATTACATACTGCTCAGGAATGACATTGTCAGGTTACATCAAAGAGCTTGATGAAAAGATCTACTAGGTGTTCATCAACAGTGAACAAATCAGACTGGATATCAAAAGTTGTAAAAAAAATATTTCAAAATTAAGTCAAAGAATATAATTATTTAACTGTGAAAGAGCACAGTACATTATCCTTCCACAGTGCATGAAGGACAGTTTCCCCCTCTAACACACCCACTTAAAAATGACACAGTAAAATTAATGGCACTCTGTACTTTTATTTACAGAGAAGAGTCACACCATAAGCCAGAGTGGCTTCCACACAAGCAATGACTATGATAGTTAAGGTGCTGCAGGATGGAAGAAAAAAGACTGAAGAAAGAATATAGCAGAGGCCTACAAAATCATGACAAAACCAAAGAGGGAATAAAGAATCACTTTTTTTTCTGACAGACAGAGCAGACACCTATTGAAGGCTACAAATGTCAAGTTCAAAAACAGTGAAAGATAAACTTCCTGAACCAGAGGAATTCCTTTTCATGTTATGGTGTGGATGCTGCAAACTGGAAGTTCAAACAGCGGCTAGACAAGGTCAAGCCAACCAGAGCTGTGCCAAAATACCTTTAGAAGAACCCATTAGTCCCTGCCATGTTTCAGCTCATTCTTCACTCGCCAGTAAAATTCTGAAAACTCTGAAAGTGCTTGTCTCCACTTGCATGTATTTCCTAACAAGTCAACCATCTGCAACAACCTCCCCAAGCAAAAATTCTAAGTAAGTTAGGAGGAAATCTTTCAGAAAAAGAAGCTTGAGCCACTCCCAGAAAAGGTCAGCAATTCATCCACTCTGTTTAATCAAAACACTTTGGCACTCTTCCCAAAAATTTCCTCAATTTCACTTCTGCTTCCAAGAAGTGAAACAATAATGTCCAGCACAAGTAAGTCAAACAATACAGTTTGTATCCTGGATGCTTCAGTTGTTTCCTGATCACTTCAACCCAGAAAAAAAGTAGAGTCCAGAAGAAGACAAATACTGGAAATCAGAAGCAAGAACCACATGGATGGTACTACCGGGGCAGGAGTTACAGAAGCAGGAAAGCACAAGGCACTTCTAACATCACCCCTCCCTCCCCACTATTTTTCCCAAGTTAGCCTGCTGTGGTCGTTTGAAAAACAATCTGAGATACCTCTTTGTGATAATAGCTATAGACTGCATTCTAATCATCAAAAGCTCCAAAGGGTGTTCAGAAGACAGGGGAATCAGAAGTGGACCTCCACATCTCTAAACTGCAGGAACTGAGGGCAAACCTTCTTCAGTACAAATGGAAGCCTGCCCAAGGCCATGCACATGGATTGATACCTCAAGTTCAAGCAGAACTACACTAAGGGTACATCAGCTGCATGGAAAAAGTATTTTGAAAGAGGGAAGAAAACTATTCTCCATTTCAGAAGGCATCTGCCAACATTTCTTCATTTCTTCTATTCCTCACAGCAATACAGCATCACAGAACCTACATTCACTTGGTGCTAAAAGCACAACTGGCTGACAGTTTTTGACTATAATCTTTCACCTTCAAGTTGATTCTTTCTCTCAGGTAAGCATTTGGCTACGTTCTACCCTACAGAGAGAAGGCAGAGAGGTAGATGTAGCCTGCACTTTTTTAAAGTTATGACAAAAGCAATTCAGGCTTTTTTGGTATAGTTTTCTCATGTTCCCACTAAAACAGCCAGACCTCAGCTCCATCCCACTGCTAGTTTAGGGCCTTGACTCTGACCAATCAAATCAGTAATGCCTTTGGAACAAGCAAGAACATGTCTTTACAAGCAGAGAGGTACAATTACCTGTGCCTGTCAACACACAGTCCTCCAAGGACAACACAGCCTCCAGAATAAACCATTTACTAGGAAGATAGTTATTCCCATGGTTTTCAAAAATATTACATTCAATCCACATATTACCCTCTTCACAAAGTCTAGGGTAAGCAGGTAGATTCCAGGATACTTCAGATGCATGGAGAAATGACCCGAAAGCATGAACACGGAAAGCCGTAAAACCAAGAGAGCTGTTCTCAAAGGTGACACAAATCCAAAATGCTGGCGAGAATTACTGATTAATTTAAAATCAAACACACACCATTTACTAAGGATCAAGAAGTTTTCTGAGAAGGACTTATTAACACTGTTTCTACTGGTCTAGGAGTTACCAGAACAGTTCAAATTAAACAAATTACTCTGGCAGGAAAAACATCATCCCAAACACGATGAATGCTTGTTGTGTGTTGTGACTGAATGGCCTACTACTAGTAATACATTGACTCATTTTTCTAGAAGTACTTTATATTTGAATGATAAACATGCTTTACAGTGTGCAGAGTCTCAGAATGGTTTGGGCTGGCAGGACACTTACAAGACCATCTAGTCCAACACCGTACCCCATCCAACCTGGCCTTGAACACTTCCAGGGATGGGGCATCCAGGACTTCTGGGAGCAACCTGTGCCTCACCACCCTCGTGGTAAAAAAATATAACAGTATCCCAGTGGGCTACTCTGTCTGCATTCTTGTGCTGTCTGCTTCCACTTGGCACATTGTGCCTACACAGATCAACTTGGTATGGTTCTCTGCTGGAAACACAAGCAGTGCCGAGGGATTCTCCGGCTTTTCCTTAGAGAACACGACACCCTGATTAGGACACTTGTCTGAGGTAGCGTGCAGGGCTTGGGAGGGGAGGCGAGAAGGAGGAACACCATCAGCACCAGTACGGGACACCAGGTGAAATGACAATGCCCTTCCCACCTGCGCCCCCACGCACCCGCTCTGTGCTGCCGAAGGCCACCGTCGCAGTCACACCCGCCACCGAACCCTCCAGAGCCGAGTCCATTGCAGCTCAAGGGCACGGCCGGGAAATCGAGGCAACCACAGCGCCGCTACCCCCTCATCGGGGCCGCAGGCCGCTCCCACACACACACGGTGGCCAACGCCCCCCACCCCCTTGCGCAACCTGGCAGCGCGCTCGGCGACGGGGCGGGAGGGGCAGCGGCCTGCGGGGCGCGCGGGGCACGGGCTCGAGGGAGAAGGGCGGGAGGAGCGGCCGTTCCGTTCCGCTCCGTTCCGCTCCGTTCCGTTCCGCGGCCCGCCCGCACTCACCGCATGGGCCGCCCCCCCCGGGCGCGCTCCCCACATGCCGCGCGCGGGGCCCGCTCCGCTCCGGGCGCTTCCGTTACCGGCGGCCGGGGAAGGGGCGGGGCGGCCCCCGCGCTGGGCGGCGCCCCATTGGCTCGTCAGCGCCGGGTATGCAAATGACAGCGGGGTGGGCGGGGCCGACCCCCAGGGGCGGAGCCGCTGCCGTGGGGCGAGCGAAGGGGAGGCTCGGACACAGCTCCGGTCCCGGTCGCAGTCCCGGAGACTCTGCCGGGACTGAGCAGAACTAAGACCAGTACCAGGCCTACTTCCAGTACCAGTCCCAATCCCAATACAAGTCCCAGTTCTAGTACCAGTGCCAGTACGTGTACTAGTCCCAGTACTTGTACCAGTACTGACCAGTACCAATACCAGTACTGGCCAGAACTAATACCAGTACCAGGCCAAGTTCCAGCGGCTGTCCCAGTTCCAATACCAGTAGCAGTACCTGTGCCAGGCCTGGTTCCAGTCGCAGTTGCAGTCCCAGTCTGAGTTCCAGTCCCAGCTGCAATCACAGTTCCAATAACACTACCAGACCGATTTCCTATCCCAGTCCCCATTCCAGTACCAATCAATACCAGTTCAGGTACCTATACCAGTACCTGCACCAGTATCAGGCCCAGCTCCAGGCCCAGCACCAGTTCTAGTCACAGTATCTTACCTGTACCATACAGGTAAGAGATCCAGTACCAATACCAGTGTCTTGCACCAGCCAGAGCCATGACACGCCCTCCTCTGCTCTGTATCCCACCACCTGGTCTTTTAGTTCTTTTGATTCTTGGCATTGCTAGTAATGGGCCTCTGCTTTAGCAAGAAACATTTTTTATAATTATTGGTAATTTGGTAACACAACAGCCCACCATTTGCCTGTGAAGCACAGATATACTTGGGCCCCTACATGCATTCATTTCTGCACGCACAGCTTTTTAAAGAACTGATGCCATGTTGACGCCAGGCATGGCAGCAGACACGGCCATCACCCTGTGCACAGAGCATGGCCACCCAGTGCAAAGAGGGCAGCAATAAGAGCTGCAGCCTGTTGCGGGCACTCAGGGCCCATGGGCAGCTTCATGTTACAACTGAGGTCTAGAAGCCTCAGCAGCAGCAGCTCTAGGACCAGTTAGTAAGAGAGGACACAGTCATAAATGTAACTGACCCCAGCCTTTTGGTGCAGATAGTCTAGGATGGGAGCTGTTGGGCAGAGAAGCAGGCAGTAACACCAGCTACTTCAGTCTTCAGTCAGCCAGGGGCCTGGTAACTTCAAAAAACCGTGTCATCATCATACATGTGTGCAGTCACTGAAGCACATCCTGCAGTGAAGCATTTTCGTTGAGCAGCATGCCAAAACCAACACAGGTGGATTGAAAATGAATTTCACAAATTCTGAGAGAGTGTCAGGCAGGATATGTATCCAGATTCTGGCTGTGCTGACCTTGCCTCTGAATGCAGTTAGAAAAGGTTATTTTTCTGAGTTAAAAAGTCAAGCAGCCTCTGGTGAATCACTGGAGCTATTTTACTGGCATGAACATGATGCTTCTGGAATAAAGGAGTTTTCTGGAAGTCGAGACATCTTTTCTCAGCCATGATATTTGTATTGACATTGTTGGAAAGCACATAAAGATTGTGGGGAGGTATCCTGCCTGTTCTGACTTTATGACTCTATACACAGAATAGAGGTAGGGGAGGTTTCTGTTACCGCCTTAGCTGTTGAATGTCTGTTGAACATCTTTTTTTTGCTTGAAAAGATGCTGTCAATGCTTTATGTTTAACATGGGACTCTTTGAGTCATCTATTTCTATTTTTATTATTGCCGTTGTGGGTTTTTAAAATAACGGTCAGGTTTTTAGTAGAATTTACATAAGTGTATCTGAAGTTAAATTACCACGACACACTGTTTTCTAGGAGATGAAAGTTTTAAATAAGTTTCTGCTGCTATGCCTTGAAGCATGGGATAGAGTTGAGATTTATATTGTATGTTTCTTCCCTGTCTTTGTAATTACACTGATAATTAATAATGGAGCTTAAGCCTTTCTTGAGATAAAAATATCTTCATTACAGTGAAAACATAGCTTGTTGGAGTGACTGTGTTTTCAGGAAGCTACATGCTAATGCCAGACTCTTTCTAGCAACAACTAAAAACCTTCAAAATCCAAAGATTTCAGTGGATACCTTATGTACTGTGTGCAGTCTAACAGCTTATCTGAAGAAGATATAACTGCATTAATTGATTCTCATCAGCTTCAAGCAGTAAAAAGGCAGAAACTGGAGAGGTTTGGACACATGACTTGAGTTACAAATCCATTGTTTCAGGGAATGGTCAAATGGAAGTGAAAGAGAGAACTCCCTGATGCTGCCTGGTACGTAAACTGTAGGATGGTAGAAGGATCTAGGTTTGAAAGGTCTCATGAAGTTCTTTAATCCAGTCTCCTTACCAAAGCAGGTCTAACTTCAAATCTAGATTAGATTGCTGAGTTCCTCATCTAGCCTTTCCTTTTTTCTCTTTTTTTTTTTTTCCTTCCAGGCATGTCTGCCGAACTGTTTTCAGGGGTAATTTTTAATAATCAATGTAATGTTGCATGTATACAATGGAATGATATTGTAAATGATAATGAAATATAATTCTACCACCATTAACTGACAGTAAGCAGAAATCCCAAACAGAGTAACCAAGGGTTGAAATACAAACATTCCACGCTCCCCAAAATACCCATAACAATACAATGACTGTGCCATTAAAATAAAATATTGACAGTATTTTGCCACTTTTTGAACACCGTAAGATTTTGTCATGGGCATGTGTATTGCAGTATAAAGGAAATTGTATGATGAATGTGGTATCCACAAACTTGTAAACTCACAAATACAGTTGCCCAGAGGCAGGAGAAGAAAACGAGGAAATACTCTACTTAATACAGAGCATCACATCTGAAGGCAATGGTTGTCCACCTCAAATATGGCATTGGTCTTGAGGTGTGAAGGAAGCTGTAGAAGCAAATCATTATGCATTCTTTCCTTGAAAGTCTACATGGTCTTCATTTGTTGTTCAAGGAGCTGCTAGATGTATCAAGCAATCTTTCTTAACTGACTCTCTTGCATCCTTCTGTGTTCTAGAAGATACTCTTCTAACCCTGTCCCCGGTTATGCCTATGATCCAAAGCAGTACCTGTGGAGAACACAACCCACAGCCAAGAGTCTTCCTTGTCTCCTTTCATTTTTCTTTCATATTTCTATATGTTCTTTTTCCCCCTAGTTGTCTCACTCTTATACCCAATACTTCACCATATTTGGTTTCTTAAAATTGCCAGTTGCCTTTCTGTCTCCTTTTATGGGTAGACTGAGTTCCAGCATCTCAACTTGTCTTTTTTGTTTGTTTTTATGAAGGAGGAGTCCTTCACTGACATTAAGAGAATTTAAATGCAAATAGATGCAATTGTAGCAGCGGGAGAAATGCAGAGAGGTTTTTGTTTGTTTTTCTCTAGAGAAGGACCTAGGCGATTCATGAGCACAGAGAACACATTGATACCTGCACTCATTTTGGACTCCTATCTTTCCCAGGCTAGCACAACCATGTACTGCTAACTGCAGCATTGCAGAAAGACATCAAGGCCTGAGCCAAACAGCAAAAACAGTCAGAGAACAAGATAACCTCAAAAACAGTGAGTCTGCCAGCACCAGTGCAGTTTCTCAGGTATAACATGAACAAAATGGGACTGGTTCTCATTGATCCTGCAGTGCTGCTCCTTGTGTGTTGTTATAATGAATAAACTTCACTCATCACCCTACTTCCCTTACTTTGCATAGTCCTTCTGTGCTTCTATGTACATATCAGACCTGCACTGGACTCCATCAGTCTAAGGTTTCAATATAAACATTCTACATACAAAGAGAAAAAGACTTACCCATAGGCTGATGCACTCCTCTCCCACCATTCATTACAACTTAGGAAAGGATGCAGGACTACTTGCAACCTTGTTCAATGACTGGAGATGGCATTCCTGTCCACCTCATCTCCTAGTGAATAACACTGATGAAGGGAACAGCTTCTCCATCTTTGCTGCCTGTGCTGAGCTGGACTATCTCTGAGGAGAGAAAAGCATTTGTAAAGAACTTTTGTGCCCAGTTACATTAGGCAGCAGAAGCAACTATAGTTTCAGTAGTTTCTTCTGTGTTTGCAGAATGCAGTGAGCAAAACTGGGATGATCAGAGACAGTGCCATGCTGCAAACTGTGGGGTTGGGAGACTGGTTGTCCAGGAAGTCTGGAGAGGATAGTCATCCAGAAGAAGAAAAGGCAAAATTGCATTACCCATCTCTCTGGATCTTCATGTTATCTCTATCCACCAGCACTGAAGTGATGCTTAAGGGTGTACTAGGGTCTGTCTAGAATAGTGTTAATTTCTTTTGTAGTAAACTGTATGATGCTGTGTTTTGGATTTGTGACTAAAGCAGCCCTGATAAGACACGTGGTTTGGCTATTGCTAAGCAGTGCTTGCACAGCATCAAGGCTTTCTCTTTTTCCCACTCAGCCCTCCTCAGGAGTATGCACAAATTTGGAGGGGACACAAGCAGGATAGCTGAGCCAAATAATATTGTATGCCCTATAACATCATATACAGTAACAGAAATTGAGGAGAGAGGGATTTTGGGGAGGTAGCCATTGCTCAGAAACTGGCTCTAGACATCACTCTGCTTTTGCATCACTTCTTGCTTCACTTACTAAACTATATCTGTCTCAACCCATGAGTTTTCTTGCTTTTGCTCTCCCCATCCTGCTGTGGTTTTGTGGGAGGAGTGAGTGAGATATCGTGTGGTGCTTAGCTGTGGGTGAGGGTCAACCTGCTACAAAGTGAGAAAAGAAAACCTCCAGAGTCTATCTGCTGTACACACAATCAGACTTCCACACAGCTACAGTACATTCCCATACTCAAATGTATGCACATACATGCATCCCAGCATCTGCTCTGGTGCAGTCACTCACCATCTCACTGTTTACCCCAGGACAACACAGGTGCTGTGAATTGCCAAGGGATGCGTCACAGCCAGCTGAATCTGAACCACACTTGAGCCAGCACTGTGACACTAGTTGGAAAGTTCCTTCTACAGGGTACAGAGGCATCTACTGACCTTGTTTGCCACCTCACATGACCTGTTGATTGAGGGAAGTTAGACCTGAGACTGTTGCAGAGTCCAGAGTTTGGCCTGTTCCCCTGGCCTGCTCATCCATGTGTGCACCAATGATATTGTCAAAGGAGACCTTAGCAACCCAAGGGTGGCCACAAGGCACTGGAGCCCAGGTGCTGTTCTCCTTGGTCCTGCCAGTGGAAAGGCAAGGCTTGGGCAGGAGGGCGCCCAACCTATGGGTTAACACCTGACTGCACAGCCAGTGTTGCAGGCAGAGCTTTGGCTTTTGTGACAGTGGAGCCCCAATTTGAGGAACAAGGGCAAGAACATGTTTTCCAATAGGCTTTCCAGCCTATTGTCTTCTTTCTGTCTGTCTGCTGTACTTTTTCACCTCTTCAAGGCTACTCTGATCACTAGATCTCTTTCTGGCCTACTTTTTTCCACCTTTCTGTGGCTAATCTTTGTTATCCTTCACATTTGCAGGCTTTATGCTATTTTCTTAACTTCTCTGAGCCTACTCTGTCTTTTCTGAGGTTCTTTCAGGCTCTTTTCTAATCTCAGGCTCTGCGAGGCTTCTCTGTTCTCTGGGACTCTCTCAACCTCTCCACTTCTTCCCTAGACTCTCCAAAGCTGCTATGGCTGCTTTTCAGTTTCTTCCTTCCTCTCTGACTTTGGAGCACTTTCAGTCTTTCTGCTTGTTTTGTATCTCACTCACCTCTCAGTTCCCCTTTCCGTCATTACACTGGGTTTTCTGCAGCTGTTTTATTTTTCCTTCAAGGTCCATGGCATTTCAGCAACTACCCTTCTTTCTCCTGAGACTTTTTCAGCCTTCCTGCTTGTTTATTCCCTTCTCCAAGGTGATTTTTTGTTGCTCTTTTAGCCTCTCTCCTCTTTTAAGAGATGCAGGTACAGACTCCCAATTCTCTTGCACAATCTCTGATACTTTCTTGTTGTTGTCAGGGTCTCTTGTGTGTTATCATAGTTCTTTCAGGCTTTCTACAAGTTCCTTTTTTTTCCTCAGTCTTCTCTTGAGGCCACCCTTGGTACTACTGAGTACTCCAGAACTGCTTTCATAGTTCTGAGACCTTCTTGTTATCACTCAGCATCTTTTGTATTCTGAGGGATTCTTATCTGCCTTATCTATTTATTTCTTGCCATTTTGACATTGCTACATTATCTTTTCTTGAGCACTTACAGGCTTTGTTCCCTTCCCTGAGGCTAGTTTATATACTCTGAATCTCTTTCAGACTCTCTGTTGCTTTGTTCCCTTCTGTTTGGCTCCACTGTTTCATTTGGTGATCTTTCAGGCCATCTTCTACTTTCCTGGCATTTGGAAGGCTATTCTGCAATTTTTCTCTATCTGAGTGTTAATCAGTTTTCACATTTTGTCTGAGATTTCTCAGTGTCCTCTGGATGTCTTTCAAGCTCTCTACTACTTTGTTCTCTCTTCAGCTATTCTATATTCTCTGGGAGTCTTGCAATCTCTTTCCTATATTAACAGGCTCTCAAAACCGTTTTTCCATTCTTTGGATACTTTTCACACTTTTTTCTGTTCTATTAGAGTATTGTTTTGAAGGATGAGAGAGGACTGGGGCAGGGGGCAGGATGGGAATCTTTTCAGAGATGCAATAGTTTCAAGAGCACTGGATTTCAAATGCAGTGGAGCTGGAATAGATCTCTGTCAGTCACCTTTTGGACTTTTTTTGTCCCTTTTTGGTTTTGATGGTGGAGTTAGGAGACAAATGAGCTCAAAGAGGCACCTTTGAAAAAACGCTTTATTTTTATATCATCCTAGTAAAAATCTTTTATATAAAGGCGAAAGTAGGTATTGCATAGAAGAAACACTGGTGCAAACATCACCTGGTGGGAATGGCATGTTGTTTCTTAGTGTCTACTATCTACTGCACAACAGATGGCTAGCCCACAGCCAGACATCTCCAGGTTTCCCCATGCCAGCTACAGGATGAAGCCTCTCAACTCTGTGGAAAGAAGTTACATCAGAATTATGTGTGGCCTATTCCATGCTGCTCCCAAGAACCATCTGCTGGGAAAACACCCTTTTCTCCTTGGTCTTTTCTATGCCTGACCACTAGTTGCCCAAGAAAGACCATGAGGATCAGTTTGGCTGCCCCCTGCTTGCACCCTATGTGAGTTTGTACTACATGCATACAAATGGGGAGGGTGGACACAGGATAGGAGAGTTGGCCTAAAGCGACCATAGTCCAGGAACTCAATGCATGACATACCCAAGGCATCTTCTGTCATCTTGGAGACATTTGCGTCATTGTTTTTAACATCTTACATGCTACGGGCACTTTTTTTGAGCACCTTTCGTCTGGGCTTCCTGTAACTAACAGCCTTGGTAAGTCCAGAAGGGAACAGAATTCACTGCAAACACTTCATCAGCTTTCAAGTAGAGGTTCTTCAGGCAATTCTCCTGTTTTGTCTCTGCTTAAGTTCTATTGCAGCTTCCAAGCATGAAGGACAGTAAGACAGCAGGTATGCTACAGTCTGAAGGAACACTCAGAGAATTAGCACTTTCACAGACTTGAACTGTGCTTTCATGAATTAGAGATACAGAGAGGTATGCATTTATACAAATCAATATTTGTGTATATTAAAGATATTTTTTACTCAGTATCAGTTTTTATTTAAAAACATGCTAAAAACTTATAGTTAAATAATCAGAGTGACATTTGGGGAAAACACACAGATAGCCACCTACCAGCATAAGCAAAAAAAGTGCATACATACATGAGCCAAAGCTCCCTTTGACCAGTTTACAGGATAATTTGTGCCTTCTCTGACAAACTGACTGATGCAGCCTCACACTTTCCAGAGCTGTTTTTTGCTGCCTGGAAAATGGTATTACTTTTCTGCACCTTTGAGGATGTCTGTCATCACCTCCCACATCAGAGAGTCAGCTAGAGACACAAATCAGTCCTGCTTTTGACTCCTCTCCTGTAGGTGGCTTCATAGAGATGAATACATGAAGCTCATGTAACTATCTCACTTAATACTGTGCTTAAAATGCCAAAAGTAGTCATTAAAAAAAGATTTCAGGATCTATGCTGCTAGATCGTGAAATGGAATGAAGCATTCTAGAAAAATAAGTTTGGATGGAAGGCAAAGTAGCTGAGTTTGCAACTACACATTTCATCTCTGAGTTACTCATAAACATTTTTTATTTCCTTATTACTTTCACTAATATATTTTACCATTTTTGTACAAAAACTGACTGCAGATTAAAATTTAAGATGCGGCAAGTACCACTGTGCAACCCCAAAGGACAGAGATGATGCTCCTGCTTAGCCCTGCACCCTGCTCTTTTGAAGCACCAGAGAAAGCTAGAGAAAGCTAAGCACTTCTGTCCAAAAGGAGAATGCAGTGAAGCCATCAAATGAAAATCATCCTGTCTTTTCTTGCAAAAATGGGAACGCATCTTAGCAACTTTGGATACAGTCTTACATGTAGCAGCAAGTACACTGGGCATCAGAGCCCCTTCTTCAACATGGAACAGCCATCTCCAGTGAGGCTCAGATGCTCCTGGTCCCAATTTTTGTTAGAAATGGAAGTAAAACTGGATTCAGTTTCTGTGCTTTCCCTCTGCTTCTTCCCCAACTCCTTCAAAGGCTATCCAAGTGAAACAGCTGAACCCATATGGCCTTGTCTGCTTCAGTGGGAAACAAGAGCCCTGTGAAACTTTGGGCAATTGTGCTCATATGGGCAAAGGCTGTGCTCTAAAAATAGTAACCTTCTTCACTGTAACACCCAAATTCATCTCTATCACCCACACATTCACACTCCTTCCTGTCACACTGATTTCATAGGAACTCAAGAAAGTGACACATAGGTCAGACAAAACACTATTGTTGCCAGATGTACAGATGCATGCAGGACTTACTAGGAATACAAACAGAGGACTAAAACCTCCCAGATATAGTGGCTCAACAGCTATTTCAGCCCACAAGGAAAAGATAGGCTGAATGATACAATAAAAATTGTATCTTTTTAGAGCTTAAAGTATAAATATTCAGATTGGACATTAAGAGAATTTTGTTTACCAGAGTAGTTGACGTGGCATGGCTCTGAAAGGCACGATATCTCCACCCTCAACAGATTCTGAAACTCAGCCCAATACTGTCATAAAGAACCCCATCTCACATACATGTCAGTACCCCTTTGAGAGTGACACTGGATGAGGTAACCTCTGAAGGTTGACTCTGACAGTTGCTAATGCAAAAAGCTGTATTTCTTTCAGAGCTGAGTCAAGCCCTGACTGAGATTTAGTCAGAACATCTTCCAGTGTCTATGCCTTTCCCTCTTCCTTCACAAATTAGCAAAAACCTGGCTAAGAAGGTCGATGGCATCCTGCCCTATATCAGGAACAATGTGGCCAGCAGGACCAGGGAAGTGATTCTCCCCGTGTACTCAACGCTGGTGAGGCCACACCTGGAGTGCTGTGTCCAGTTCTGGGCCCCTCAGTTCAGGAAGGACATTGAGGTGCTGGAGCAGGTCCAGAGAAGAGCAACGAGGCTGGTGAAGGGACTCAAACACAAGTCCTATGAGGAGAGGCTGAGGGAGCTGGGGTTGTTTTTCCTGGAGGAGGCTCAGGGGAGACCTCATCACTCTCTACAACTACCCAAAAGGAGGTTGTAGCCAGGTGGGGGTCTGTCTCTTCTCCCAGGCAACTATCAGTAAGACAAGAGGGCATGGTCTTAAGCTCTGCCAGGGGAGGTTTAGGTTGGATATTAGAAAGAAATTCTTTACAGAGAGGGTATTCAGGCATAGGAATGGCCTGCCCAGGGAGGTGGATTCTCTGTCCCTGTAGGTTTTTAAGATGAGACTGGATGTGGCACTGAGTGCCATGGTCTAGTAACCATGGCAGTGTTGGATCAAGGATTGGACTTGATGATCTCAGAGGTCCTTTCCAACCCAGCTGATTCTATGATGACTTGGCAATCCATCAGCAAGAATCAATCTGTACTGAAGGTGTGACAACACAATCCATCTCTGAGTGCTGTTTTGGAAATTACCCCTTTCCTGCACCATCTGGTCACCTTTAATCAAACCACCTTTTCTACCTCAGGGAGAGAGCTGTCTTTGGCTTGAGGAAACCCCTACAATGAAGAGCATGGCATGACAGTGTTGCCATCAAATTGCCCTTCCCTTCCTTCACATCCAGCAGCACGCCATGCCTTGGGCAAACTTTTTTGAAGCAGACGACACAATCTGTGAAGTCTGCTGCCAGCAGGTCAGACTGCAATCTCTCTCCTTTGCGCTAACAGTAACTTGCTTAGTCAGTGCTTTAAGCTTTCAGAGTAGCATGACATCAAAGCAGCCAGGCACTGCTTTGGGTGAGTAAAGGCATTGAAACTTTGCCTCACAGGAGTAGGAAGCTCATCATCTGGTCCAGTGGGAAGGCTTTGCATTCCATCTGAGGAAAGAATCTCTGATTTTAAAGTGACACCTTTGTTACAGTAAGGGCATCGAGGCCCTGATAAAGGTAGACAATGCCTCCCCATGGACTTGAGAAAAGTTGTGTCTTTGCCCGCACCATCAACTTTGAAAAACATGTCCTCTGGAGATCGCACAGTGGTTCCGAAATTAATGTACAATAAATGTGTAAAACCAAAAACAGTAAGAAGTTATAAGTCAGGCAACTAAATTCTAAGCTATATCCATCATAATAATAATCATCATCATCATTATTATAATAAAAAAGTATACACCATAAGGTACAAGAAGCTGCAAAGCAAAGCAGCTCCAATTCCTAGGACTCTCAGTCAGAGTGGCTTTTCTGAGTCTTCCAGTAAATTGGATATAAGGGTTGAAAACTTAATGGAAGACTTTGAAGAATTCTCACTTGAAGTTGAACACATGTAATTTTTGCACATATAGCATGGATTAGTAGAGCAAAACATTTTCTTAAGTTAAGAAACATTCTTAGAGCAGATCTATGATTTCGTGTAGAAAATCCATTTGTTTGGGGGGGTTTCCCCCTCTTTGGCAAATAAATGGCAAATGTGAAACAGAAAAAAAAAAAAAGAGTCAAATAAGTTGTGATAATAACTGGACAAGTAACAACAAAGTGGATCAGTCAATGGGACGGATTCCCTCAGCAGGGCTAAGTGTGATGCTCCTTGTGGTCATTCCTTGTGTTCATTTTTATGATGAGACAGAAGGGTTGATGTGATAATGTTTCAGAGGCTTTAGGCATCATATTTTTTGCCAGTCCTGTGAATCTGCTGGAAGAGTGTCATGGAGAAGGCCATGCCAAGAATCTGAAGGAAAACAAACAATAAGGGCTTTAATATAGGAAGGCTTCCAAGACTGCACTGCTGACCTGTGTTCATGGCCCAGCTGTAGTTCTAACAGTCATTCTACTCTAGCCATATTTCCCAAGCTTCAACACCGAGAAGTAAACTTGAATGTATGTTGTTCAGGCACGTAGTGATGTCCAGGGTTGTATCTGTCAGAGCACAGATGGAGACAAAAAGGTCTCAGGGCTCTTTGTCATATGCGCAACAATTTTTCAGAATCTATACGTACAAATCACTCTTCCCTTTGACCCAACAACTTGTGCTTGTTTAGCCAGGTAACTGTGACTGAAACTATCAGAGCCAGGTATCATCTCCCAAAAGTATAGCAGTCATAGAATCATAGAACATTGTGAGTTAGAAGGGACCCACAAGGATCATCGAGTCCAGCTCCTGGCCCTGCACAGGACAACCTCAAAAATCACACCATGTGCCTGAGAACATTGTCCAAAGGCTTCTTGAACTCTGGTCAGCTTAGTGCCATGACCACATCCCTGGAACAGGAACCCCAAAACCTTAACAGATTATTACCATACTTCTGCATTTCTTTTTTAAAACATGTTAACCTACTCAGTTGAGTGGCTATGACTTGATTCATTTTGGAAGTTTCTGGAACTTGCTTCCAAAATTAAAAAACAACCAGTTCCCTAAGGGACAGCATAACAAATGGCTAAATATGTGAACTCCAAAGAGGCACTCTGAAGTCAAAACATAGATAAGCAAAACCCCACTGCAAAGAAGTCCAGTCTTTGCAGGACTCACTGCTGACATGCTTCCTTTCTGAGCAGATGGCCTTATATGAACTCATAAAACAAATCTGACATTATTGAAATAATATTCCAACTCAAAGCAGTTGAGCATCACTTTTCACACAGCAGAATCAAGAATGCTGACAGCAAATCAAAGCCATGTTGACAAACATCATACCAGTATTACCTGCATTATGAGGATGCACATCCCAATCGAACCAAGGACATGCTTATTCTCATCAAACCAGGTCATAACTCTCTCATAACATCCCTGAAATGATGAAAAATGAAAATTGAAACCCCAAGGTCACATTTTATTTCATGCACATTCCCTCCATTTTGTTCCTTCCCACCCCTACCTAAGACTTGACCTGGGCAAAGTGAGCCTTACCGTTTTCCAGACTAATTCAGTGGAGTTCCTTCCACAGTCTTGGGAGTTTTCTGTACAACATCGGTCTGGAACAACATTTTCTCCCAGGACTGGGTACCAATCTGTAAAGTCATTCACACCACAGCATTTCATCTGTGCAAAAGTAAAGAATTCATAAATTAACTGGGACAATTTGTGAATCACACACAACCACAAATTTGTACTTCCACTAAACCACTCTGTATTTTCCAAAGGGTTGTCACAACACTTCAGTAGTTTTAAAGTGTTCTGTGGTTGCTGACCTCTAAAAGCAAATACTTAAAAACACGAAGAAAAAACAAAATCAAGAAAAATAAATGGTTCCACGTCCAAGGTATATTGGTCTTCTTGTCACAGAGACATGAGCCCAAACACCAAAACATAAGGTAATCTGCCCTCAACTGCTAACAGCAAAAGTCTGCCAAAAAGTCTTCAGTTCCACCTATGCAGGTTTTGTTGCCTCTCTGCTGCTTCAGATCATCTGTGACAGGCAAAGAGAATCTCAGACAGGTGAGCATCTTTCACCTTACAGAGTACCCTTTGATCCTGGTTTCACAGTTCTCCCTGGATATTCTGAAGTGCAAAATCAGAAACCAAAACCTGCATTAGACATCCATGGATGCCACACTTAACAGACTGCAGTAGGTTTCATGAACAAATCACTATTTTTTTTTTATATTGAGAAAATATATTACCTCTGCTTGAATGATATTCCAGGCATTTTTCAGTCCAACATTATTTTCTGAATTGTATAGCTTCATACCTTCCTTCAAATCCTTCTTTGCACTCTCACTGACCTGCACCATGTAAAAGATAGAGAAAGTCAAAGCTGTTCAGAGGAAAGGACCAAATGGTATAGACACACATATAGAACATCTGTCTCTTAACTTCTTTCACCACAAACTTAATGTAGGTAGAAAAGCTTCAAGACTCTCACAAGTCAGTGGGACCTTTAAGCAACTGCCAAAGGCCTAGTCTCTCCCTAAGATTGCAAAATACTGGATAAATTCTCTTGAGATAGGAGACCTCTGCCAAGAGCTCATCCTGTATAGTCATCATCTGATTCAAACTAATTGAACATTAACAGCATAAATCTGCTGAGTTTACTGTAACCTTGCCAGAGACGGCTCTTGTCAATACCCCACAGCAGCCTCTACTGCCTGTAACCTATGGCCTACTTTAAGGCCAGAGTTCTGGACTTCCAACCCTAACAGAGTTATCTTTGCATGAGTTCAGTTGAAAAAAGACATTATTGTTGTTCTCCTTGTGGAAACAGACTTTAAGGATTTATGGCTTTTAACTGTGCTCTTCTTTTCTTAGAGGATAAAGTTGGAATGCTTAACAAGAGATCTGAGATGTCTCATTTCTTGTATAAATTTCAGTCTGAGCTCAGAGTCCCAGATGCAGGTAAGCAGGCACCTTGCCTCTGACACTAGTGAGCTGGCAGCAGAGAAAGGATTATGGTCCTGGCATAAAGGTCAACTATATTATAAGATCTCTTTCATCCCTCTTTGACATCTCTGTCAAAATCAGAAGTTCACCTCAGCTCCCTGAAGTAGCAGGCACTATAATTATAGAATCATAGAATTAACTGGGTTGGAAGAGACTTCTGAGATCATCAAGTCCAACCCTTGTTCCAACCCCACTGTGATTACTAGATCATGGCACTCAGTGCCACATCCAGACTCGTCTTAAAAACCTCCAGGGACAGTGAATCCACCACCTCCCTGGGCAGTGGTGGTGCCAGTGTCTGATCACTCTCTCTGGAAAGAATTTCTTTCTAATATCCAACCTAAACCTCCCCTGGCAGAGCTTAAGACCATGCCCTCTTGTCCTATTGCTGATTGCCTGGGAGAAGAGACCAACCCCCACCTGGCTACAACCTCCTCTCAGGGAGTTGTAGACAGTGATGAGGTCACCCCTGAGCCTCCTCTTCTCCAGACTAAACAACCCCAGCTCCCTCAGCCTCTCCTCATAGGACTTGTGTTCGAGTCCCTTCACCAGCCTCGTTGCTCTTCTCTGGACCTGCTCTAGCACCTCAATGTCCTTCCTGAAATAATGACAACCTGAGAAGAGATAAAGGTCTCATAGGAGGAGCTGTTTTAAAATAAGTCTGGACATGCTCATACTGCAAGGTTCTGCCCTGTGTTTAGCAGAGTTCTCCAGTTCCTCAGGCACTTTTCCAGTCTCACATATCCAATGGGCCAGCCAATTGTGCCTACTTCACTTGGTCTCTATGAGATAGCAGTTTCCTACAGATGAGCTTTATGAGAGCCTGTCTCCTGATCCATTTTGCACCCTTGCCAAACTCTCTGGGGCTGCCCAGTCAATTAAGACAACTGGTGGGATCTGGAATAACCTGTGAATATCCCATCCCTCTCTCCTCCAGTCCTGTTCCAAGGGTTGGCCCTAATAGGCTAAGCAGGTTTTAACTAGGACCTCCCACAACTCAGATCCACAAGATGATCAGCTTCTTGCAGACATCAAACGGCTATCAAAAGGCTAAGATTTTAAAAGAAGACTAAAAGGGAGGTCCTGGAACACAATTTTATGTCAGCGATTTCTCTTCTGCTTGCTCTCCTCATCACCTCCTCCCCCACCTTCAGAAGCAGCTCACAGAAAACAGCCAAGATTTAAAGTGAAACCTTCACCAAAGTGAAGATCAAGGACAATCCCCATACTTTTATCAAACAAAACCAAACTGAACCTGGTTTACATGCTAGTACAGATAATTAATCTATGTGGTATATTTGCTTACCTTGTCCATATAAACAAAGAACAAAATGAGTAATATCAGCTCTGCCAGAAGAATTATCAGCAAAACGATGAAAAACTGGAACAAAGAAAAAACAGTGTATACACACTTGCCAACCAGAGAGCAAACATGGGGCTTCTAGAAACTATGAAAACATGCTCCCGAATGTCACAGCATCTGAATTCATAAGCTGTGACTGAATGGGAACCTGTCTGCTTCGAAAGCCCTCCTGTCACCTTCTGCCACACTACCTCTCTCCTTGGGGTGGGGAGAAGCATGATGAGCTCTCCTGGGTTCATGCAAGAGGAGTGATCCACACTGTGTGTTCTGAGAGGGGATACAAACCTCTGAGCTTCAGTGCTGAACAAAGACAGGTGAGGATCAGACTTTTTCTTTTTTTTTTTAAATTGATAAGGTCTGGCAGAGACCTTGACTTCTTAAGTTTGGGTCAGATGGTTTCCACTATCCTCTGCCCTTAGATAAGGGCAGTGTAGAAAACAGCAATGAGAGGCTTTGAGCCCCTCTGTGTTTATAATTTTTTCAGACCATCCTTCTAAGAGACATTTCCAGAAGGGCTCTCTGGGTTGATCCTACAGTTCCTGCTTAACTAGAGGTAACTGATAGTAATTTTCTATGCTATCTAATACATTAGGGCACATAGTAACAAGGATACATTTGCTAATACACCATTGATATCACTGTGATCAAAGCTGTGGGATGTCATACTGCAAGCATACGGAAGACTGAAAGCCAAGGGCAATATTACAGTGAGCCACAAGGCTATTTTTGCACTGGTCATTCAAATACAATAACAACAAAGCAACAGTCATTGTCTTAGTGAAAAGGAGTATTGATGTCTTACGCTCAACAGGAGGCACTTGTTTTCCTTGATAGCACCTAGACAGCCCAGAAAGCCGGTCACCATGATCACTGTGCCAATGGCAATGACTAGGTTGGCAGCTGAAAGTGATGGAAAGCTAGGAGAAAATGTGGCGAAGTTTCCTTGCGACACCGACAGCCAGATGCCCACACCCAGCAGACCACAGCCACATAACTGCAACGAGATAAACAAAAGAAAGGTGTAACCATTTTAAAGAATGTCACTGTCTCCTTTCGCAGCAACTCTGAAAAGAAAGAATTTCACAGGTAAATTCTCAGCAAGTGTTCTGCAGAAATGCTTTCACTGGCTTGGTGCAGAAACAAAGTGAAATTAAATGTTCTTACTTAGACTTGGTCATGTCATCTATACTTATAATTCTATTTAAAAGCCACTGGATGGCAGAATTCTCTTTTTAAAGACTTAGCACATGAAACTAGGGCTATTCATTGATCTCCCAACAGCAAAACCCAATGCAATTTTAATCAATAACATCATTTCAATAAATATTTATCATAAAATTCCCAGTCCCAGTAGCCATATTGGGTTTTAGTATGAGTTTTCATAGCTTTAGTTTGTTTGCCTGTGTTCAGTGTCACAAAAATCAGATTTCTGTGTTCATTATCTACAGAAAGGTAAACTTCTGCTACTCTCCATCAGTGAGAGAACCTGAAGGAAATGCATAGCTGCTAATAAAACATAAAATTATATCCCAATGTACCAAGCATAAAAATATAGGGTTGTGAAGGCAGAAAAAGAGAATGAGAGATGGAGAGTAACTATATTGCAATGGTGGTAATTTCCACATCCCTTTGAACCTAAGCTTTAGTTTAGCAATCTGGAGGAAAACTCAGTGTCTAAAGCTCAGAAGAACATGCATTGAATAACACAGAGGAAATTTTCAGCGTTCTTGTAAGGAGACTGGGAAGCACCTCTGCTTTTGAAACGCAACACACAGTAACTCTCCAGAGTGAGTTGGGGAGCTTTGCATCACTGGGTGAAGATAAATGTCAACATCTGTTTCTTATCATAGACCTGGATACAGCTGTAACATGAGTGTGTGCAGACAAAAGTTAAACACCGACTATCCTGTGAAAAGACTGGCACAAAACACACACACGCACATATCGCAGGGGAGGGCTACAGGACTTTCATCTCTTCCCTCAAATCTGTCCTCTCCAGTTAATAGTTTTGAATTGATTTCTCACTGCCTTTCATGTATATCAGCAAGGTCAACGTGAATTAGAGTAGTAAAAAGCTGAGGGGGGATGTGAAACAGAAGCCTCCTGATCACATGCTGCTGCAGGACCCAATAAACAACGCTACAGGTTTAAACTCCCTGCAGTTCATGGAACCAGCCACCCTATTGCTCCTGCTTTAAATTTCATCTACTCTGTCCTTGAACTGCTGCAGTTTTGGTGCCTCAAGCCCACTCAGGAATCCACTGTGTGGCTCAGCTGTTTTCACCATTAGATGAGAACTGCAGGCAGTTGCTTGGGCTGAGACCTTAAAGGTTCAGGAGGTCAGAAGCAGCTCTCAATTCACAACATTCATTTGAGATATTAAATGGCACTTCTAAGTTTCCAAGGCTGCCATTGCCATTAGCTGATGGCACTTCAATCAATGACTTCATAATACACCATGGCTGAGACTTGAAATGTTTCCAAAGAAGTTTCTACCAAAGTCCAAAAATGTTAAGTGTAACTTTCCATCAGAACCTGAATCCAAATTTTAAAGGCCACTCACAAATGCATTCCTTGGACTTTCAGACTCTATTAGGCTCAGAAATCACAGCCCTAGCTGAAGTGTTTTGAAACAGTGTCGTGAATTCTGGAATCATGAGGAGAAAAGCAATAGATCATTGCAGAGAAACAAGGTGGTGGTAAGAGCAAGATCAGGACAAAAGGCTTACAGAGGAAGGGCTAGTAAAGGACAAATATGTTGATGAATAGAAAGATCAGCCCATGAAGAGTCACACCTCGGGATCCAATGCCAATTATGAGATAGTAGTAAAAGAGACAGTAGAAAGAACCCTTACCAGCATCTCTTTACATCTGAAAAAATTCTGCAGTACAGTCTTGACTGAGATTGAGTCTAGAAGATAAGGGTAGCTAGGAAATTTCAAGGCTCACGTTTATGTTTAATAAGACAAAGTCAGAAGCAGCTAATTGCTTAGATGAGGGGAGAGCTACCTTCAAGTATAGGAAATCAGAAAAGTGATGGGCCTACTGGTGCTCCATGGGGTGGACATGAAGACTAAAGAGAAGGACCAGGAGCAGAAGGAGAATCAAAGCTGCAGGGCAGAAAAACAGACAGAAGGCTTCTGTCCTTTTGACAGGCCTTCAGTTCAAGACACCTTCTATATACACTTCCATACAGGGCAGATCATATCTCCACATCAGCATTTTGATAAACTCAGGAGCAAAATACTTTGCTTTTTGGCAGAAGACTGGTCACCTGCAACTTCACCTTTCCACAGTGCCTTATTGAGATGAAGTCTTTGATACTTAATGTGAAATGTTTGCAACAAAGGTTTGGTGCTGTCCCTAGGCAGATCACTACGGGGATGCAACTTGAATGCAAGGCATATGAACATGCTGGGAGGAGAGTCCTTTACAGCGCAAAATGAATTGCTACATCAGCTGAGGCTGCAGACATATCGACGTTTGCCATTTTTTCCTGCAATTCTAATGTCCCACTGAAGACAACTTTCCTTTCCAGGTTCTGTAGTGATTGGATAGCATGCCAAATTGCATAGTGTGATTACAGTATCATCCAGAGCTTTGTGAAAACACTTATTTGGTGCAGTACTACAACTACACTGCAGTACCTGCACTGATCACGTTCTTACCATGCCTGATTTCCAAGCTAAATTCTCCTTTTCACAGACTTTTTACCTCTCAAAGTAAGATTTCTCCACCCTTACGCTGAAAGTTCAGATTACATAAAAAATCAGGTGATGAAGGGGCTATTAAAGACCAAGGCTGATATATATAAGCAGGATTATCTACAATGACTGAAGAGAGTAAAAAGTCAGGAAGACTTGCAAGAGATTTAATAAAAGATGTGGCATCCTAAAAACTTCCACAAGGGGGCATTCCATACCAAATAGCTCTAGGAGTTTAAGACAAATTGAGTATTTCTTCTCTCCACAGCTCCTCGATTTTTGTGCTTTCTTCTCTGTTTTTCTCTGTCTTTCTACTGAGTAGCAGTACTGTTGATGCTAAAATTTATGCTTTAAACCTCAGGTCCCATGACAAATGCTTTTTTCACTCGTGCTTTTTGAAAAAATCCAAATAATGCCACTGACATGGAACTTAATTGCATGCACCATACCAACCAAAGCTAGCTAGCATTCTAGCAATAAAATACCTTTCCCTGACAGTTTATTCTATACCATTCCCATTTTTTATACTACATGAACACTGTAAAAAATGTTCTGACAGCCATTTATTCTCACAGGATCCACCTCTTTCTGTTTGGAACAACTGAATCCTGGAGAGTGAAAGGAGAAAAAATATATCAAGTCATCTTATTAATTCCTTTTTCACCATATAATGAAATAATATATGCTGCTTGGTATTTAATTGTGTGAGAGTGATGGCACTGACATTCCTTCCCTAGAGAAATGGTTCAACAGCATAATAAATTTCACTGGATTTTTCTTCTCAAAAGATGTTGGCTTGTTTCCCTCGCATGATTAGAAATCATCATCCTCCAGGCAACCCTCAAATCTCTCCTTCCCCTGGTGTTTATGTCACCACAGAACACTATCATAAAGTCAGTCACTTTTACTTACGGAGTAATTTAGCCAAGCTATGGTACATATATTTTGAGCTTAAAAGCAAACAAAAGGAACACTAACTTTCCTCACAGGTTCTTCCACACTTTGCTGTTTCACTGATCAAAGTCTGAATTCTTTTCAGTACCTCAGCATCTATCCATCACCATCATTGCGCCCAGAAAAATTACCAAATTCTAGGAAACAGTAAGAATCTCAAATGCTTCAAGAGAAATGAGAAGTCCAGACAAACACAGAGAGAGAACCCCCAAAACAAGTCTTTCCCTGACAAATGCTATCAGCAGAGCGGGAAAGGGGCTCTTTTATTTTATTCTACATTTCTGAGCATTGCATGAACTAATACAATACAAACTTTCACAATACAGAACCATATCCAGGTTTAGTTGCCTTAACAAAAAGAAGACATAGGAAGAGTTTATAAGACCTAGGAAAGGGCAACACAGATGGTCAGAGGTATGCCAAGGCTGACATATTGTACAGAAGGAGATTGTGCACAGGATTATCTAGCCTGGGAGGTATTACGAGACAGGATGTGAATGAAATATTCACAACTTCAGAGGTCAGTATGAAAACCAAACAGCCTGTCTCTTCAGTCTTTTTCAATCATAGGAACAAGGAGACTATTAGCAAGCATTTTTAGTATATTTTGCTTCACATAACTTAGAAGTAAATTGATAAATCATGCCATAGGTGATTACAAGAATCAAGCATTGTGGGCACAGTTGTCAGCAAGGGCTAGATGATTTTATGTATTGGTAATAGCATTTGTAGTTTCTTAGCATATACATAAAAAATGATATTTCCTGCTTCTCAGAGTAAGATAATGAATGCAGAATCCAGCAAAAGTACCAAGCAGCAAACAAGGTAGGGTAAAGAAGGGGTAGGAAATGTCATTCTGGCAAGGTTTATTAATAGAATTATTTTTATAGACTTGCTCTTGAAGTTATTGAACAGCATCAGGAAAAGGGATGAGGCCATATTCTTGTTGACTTGCCATCATTCCATGCCATGCACAAAGTGAGTGATGGAAAAGCTGCACAACTATGTGTGAGGGAGAAAGAGTGAAGGGAAGATTTATTCTTGACATCAGACTTCCTAGTGCTGGTTAAACACCAGGAGAGCTCTTAATGCACTTGGAATAGAACAGAGACATTTAGAAACCAAACACTGAGAGACAATCACTAGGGACAAAGAAGAAGCAAGTCTCTCTGTACTCCACTTTGAATAACATGCCCTGGGCTGTCTGTGGCCCAGTTACAGAGAACAGAAAGCTCCCCACCTTACTGTGTTGAGTTAAAACAGGCAATCTTGCCTGAAGCAAAAATGATACAATGAAAAATACACAGAACGGCTTAAATATGGCCCCATAAAGTGG